TAAAACATACTTTGAGTGTTGTTAAAGACTGGATTGATACAAAAAAAATTAATATCTTATCTTTGCCACCTCAAAGTCCGGATTAAAACTTAAATGAGCATATATGGGTTTTTATTAAGAAAAAACTAAAAAAAAGGGTAAATTAAAAAATAAGAACTTAAAGAGTAAATTTAAAGAATTTGGAATTCCATAACACCTAAGATGGTACAGCCATGTATTATAAGTTTTAATAAGAGAGTTCTAGCAATTTATAATGCAAAAGGCAAACATATTGATTATTAAATTATAAGAGGCTCTTTTTTTGAACAGCTTTTAAAAATTTTTTAATTAAAAGTATAGTTTATTTTTTATGTTTTTTATTTCTTTTTCACATTAAATTTACTTTACGTGTTTAAAAAACAAAATAATTGTATAAATTTCACCTAAAAAATATTTTCTTTCAAAAAATACCGTAGCTCAATTTTTGAACATAACTGTAATTACTTCCTTAAATTTAATAATTATTTAACAATAAGTATTGAAAAGTTAGTTTTCTAAAATAAATAAATTTTTAACCTTTCAAAGAATACATTTTGATTGGTAAGATTTGTAATAGGAAGTTACTTAAGAGAAGGTTTTAACAAAACTAAAGTAGAGCAAGAATAAAATAATCTTATTCAAGATAAAGAAATGTTGAATAATGAATCATTAAGTGAAATATATGAAAATGGAAGTTTATCAATAAGTAGTGACAAAGAAACCAAATTAAGAAAGTTAATTAAAGAAACAAAAAAAGTCATTTCTGAAAAAAAAAGAGGAAAAATTAGAAATTAGTAAAAAATTAGAAGAAAGAGATATTTAACTGAATGAACTTTATAAAAAATAGATGTTATTCAATGTACTTGGAAAAATTGAATGTTTTAATTTAATATCATTCGTGATTATTGTAATTGTTATCTAAAGGCAAAATCCGAATTAGAGTCTTTAATTGATTTTTAGATAATAATTTTACCCCTACAATTAATCAATAAAATATAAAGAGAGAAACAAATTTGAATAATGATTTTAACGAGTCAGTGGAAAATCTAAAATATGTGAATGAAGAACAATCCAAAAGTAAAAATTGTTTATTATTGGTATAAATAAATTAATGTTTAAATAAAATATTATAATAAATTACTTATCTTTAAACAAAAAACAATCAAAATTTAGATTAACAAGAAATTTTGTTATAAAAAAAGAATAATTGATTTATGATATAAATAAAAAAATAAAATGTTATAAAAAGAAATTTTTTATAAAAAAGTAAAATTTTAATTAAACTTTCCTAGGCTGATATTTAAAGTCTTTCTTAATTTGAAAAAAGTTAATATTATAATAAGTAAATTAAGAACAAGTAATATTAATAAATCACAAAGAATATTTTTTATAGTAAAATTTGCACTTAAGAACACATTAAATGGTACAAATAGTCGACGAATTTTTGTGCACAATGGAGAGTTATCTAGAGTATATTTATCAGTAGAAGTAATTAAACACCAAATATTCAAGTTGATTTCACCATTATAGTAAATAAGAATATTTGAAAGTATAAATTTGATTACTCCTGATAATACATAAAAAATTATCGTATTAAATGATATTGATAAAGTTAAACAAGTTAAGTATAAGAAGTTAGCTGTTAATAGATAGAAAATAATAAAAACAATTAACATATTCCGATTATTAGAAAAATAAATAAAGGTAGCAACATCACAAATAACCATAAAAGTAAACTCTCTGATTGAAATCATATAAATTGCAAGTAAATAATCGATAACTCCAAAATATTTTTTTCTGTACTCATCTCTGTGGTTTTCAATTGATTTATAAAACAAACTAAATTCAAATAAACTTAACAAGAAAAATCTATAAAATAACAACACACATATAATAAAGATAGGGTTTTCATTCCATAAGGTTTCATATGAAGAAAATTGCTCATAATCACTATAAGTTTTATAACAAACGTGTTCATGTATAATTTTCCACACTTTAGATATTTTCACAACTTTTAATATATTATTACTTTCACTTAAATCATTATTATCATATTTTGAAGCTTTATAGATTAAATAAATATTAGGAATTATTATTAAAACAATATTAAAAAGAAAATAGAAACTAAATATCTTACTCATTAACATAGTAGAACCTTTAATAAATATTGTAAATTTTGTAATTATTGTATTAACAGGTTCATTATATTCAATTTCTATTTTTTTAGCATTAGATCTCCAACTGTCAATTAAAAAATTATATTTCATTATTGATTCGTTTCTATATCTGTTTAAGTAATCTTTTTCTAGCTTGATAATTTGTAAAAAGAAATATGAATATGGCATATAAAAATTATCTTTAACAAATCCTATAGAGGTAAAATACTTAACTGCCTCTTCCTTAGTTCCTTGAAATACAATACTTCCATTAGTCATTAAAATAAACTCATCAAAAAAATTAAATAAACTTTCTGATGGTTCATGAACTGATAAAAGAACAGCTTTACCAAGATTAGACAACTCCTTAATTAAAGAAATTATTTTACCAGTAGAAAAAACATCTAAACCAGTTAATGGCTCATCAAGTATATAAATAGATGCTTGTGTAGTTAAATTTTTTGCTATTAATATTTTTACTTGTTGATCAGTTGAACACTTTTCAAATTCTTTTTCTTTCTCCTCTGTTAAACACAAATAATTAATAATATTATTAGCCACTTCTTCTGAATTCTTATTATAAAGACTTGCTGCATACTTAAATTGTGTCATTACTGTTACATTTTTATATCCAATTGTTTTTTGATTATAATATGCAATTAAATTTGATTGGTGATCAGAATTAATTGTATCATTATTAAGTAAAATTTGACCATTTGTTATTAAATTTTCATCGATTAACCCTGTAATTGAATTAATTAATGTCGTCTTACCACATCCTGATTGTCCTAACAAGGCAACCACTTTCCCTGGTTTGACTGTACCAGTTGCTTCTTTTACTAAAAATTCTCCTTGGTCTGTTTTAACATTAACATTATTGAATGTTAGTTGTATTGGCTGTGTTTTGGTTTGTAAAACTATACTGTTATTATGTTCATTCTTTGTATATTTAATTGGGGTTTTACCTCCAAATTGTATTAAATTGTTGTTTGTATCTTGATTCATATTAGGGGTAACAAATATTTTTTTATTGAAAAAAAAGATCAATAATTTGATTGAAAAAGATCTTTATTATTTGTTATTTAAATTTTATTTATTTATATGATATAGTAATATATATTTAAAAAATCTTAAATTATTAATTAACTTTTGTTATTTATTAAATCCTTTATAAAAATTTAAAAGATATATTTTTATAAAAGTTATATTATAATTAATAAAAAAATCTTTCATAAATGTTTTTACTTATAATTGTAGATTATTTACAGTTTATAATTTAATTTTAAAAATTTTCAATTAAAATTAAAACTAAAAAAATTAAAAAAAAATTAGTTGCAATGATTTGATACAAATAATGTCATTGTTTCGGAAAATATTATATAAGAAAATTAAAGCAAATAAATCACAATTTCATAAAAGATATTTAATATAGAAGCAACAAATATTTTAAGAATGATAGGTTTAGGAACAATATAAAAAGCTTTTTATTTATTTTTTATAGCCAAAAACCATAAATATGAAAACTTACTTAAAATTTTGTAATTTTATACTAAATATTGTTTAATTACAGTTCATTTGATATCAAAAGTATTTTTTTTAAAATTTAATTATATTTGTTTTTTCATCGATCAAATTTAATATTTTTAATTGTGAAGAAAATCAGTTAAATAAGTAAGAATTTCTTTTCATTTTTTACAAAAAAAACAGAGATTAACGTTTTTTGATAACAAAAAAAGAAATTAAATTTGTTATAATTTTATTAATATTTATAATATGTTCAAGAAAAGTTAGTGTTGTTTAATATGATAAATTTTTATAATAACATAAAAAGTAGAAAACATACTATCTATATCAGTTTTAAACATAAAAGACTTTTTTCATATTATTTCATTTCAAAATTAAAAAAACATTTTAAAAAAATCTTTAATTTAAGTTTTTTAAAAAAATGGTCAAATGTAAGATTAAAATAATTTTATAATGAAAATTTTAGCTGTTAAAGATTACTGTTTATTAATCAAATAAAAATTCATACTTGTTATTATATAACATGGATAAACACATAAATGTATATTTTAATTTAAATCATATAGATTTTAATTTGGTAAGATCAAATGTTATTTTTAATTATTTAATTTAATGAAAATAAAAACATAATAATGATATAAAATGATTTTTTTAAAATTACATAAGGTTTTAATAAGGTATAAAAGCATATTTGTTTAGTATTGTTTTATTTAAAAAAGATGTATTGTTATTAGGAATTAATTTTATTAAAAAAATTAATTTTAAATTTTAAAGAACAATCTTTTAAATAAAAATAGTTTAACAGAATTCAGAAAATACAGTTTTTTAGATTAAAAATAAATTTAATTGTCAAAATATGTAAAAACTTTATTAAAGATGTTAGTTACAGAATAAATCTCTTAATTAGTTTATTGTCAGTCATGTTTTTGATGGATAGAATTATTTTTTTTCAAAAAAATAACAAAGTAAAACGGTAAATTGAACTATCAATTGATCATCAATTAAATAACAAAAAGTTATTAATTATTCTTTGAGGTAATTTAATAAAGTTTATAATTTTAGAACATAAATAATCAATATTTTAATTAAGTTTATTTAATTATATTTTAAAAAAATATGATCTCACGTGATAAATAGAGAATTAAAATATGCAAAAGAGTATATAATATGATAATAACGAAGAAGATGAAATAGAAATTAGAGGATCTTTTTTAAACAG